TACAACAATAAATATTTTTAACTTTGTTAAAGATACAATAAAAAATACGAAGAAGAGTTTGAAGGAGGATCCTTTTAGACTTATTGTTTGATTTGATAATGCATTTTTTTCAAGAAAATAACTAACTCGATCTTGACAACGAGTATCATTATCGGATTTATCTGTACAACCATACAGACCACCTGGACATTCACGATTAGCAGATTTTTCAATATAATCAAGAAAAACTGTTAATTGAGCAAAATCAGCTGCAACAGACGTGAATGTACAATTTGTTATATATGTTGATGCACATATATGATATTCATATGTATCTTTACACCATTTCGCTTTTTCTTGTGCCGACCATCGACGATCAAATCGAACACGATTTTCAATTATTGGACTACATTGTTTTCCAGCCTAATTTATAATAAATATATTTAAGATCGCATGTTTCTTTTTCCGTATCTTACTTTTTCTAAATTACACACAGGTGTTGCTGTAGTTGTGGAACGATATCTTTTACCTGGTAATGTTTGTATTGTTGTTCGACATTTATATTGTATTGGATTTGTTTCATTAATATCAGCACAATATCTTCCAACACGTAATGCATTACGTTTAAGTTGAACATCAATTGATGCTAATGCAGCTGAATATTCCGTACGCATATCACAACAAAGTAAATGTTCATTGATACAATTTGCATATGTTTTACCTGAATCACAATATGCAAGTAATTGTTCTTCAGTATATAAATGTGATTTCATTAAATCTTCATCATCTATCGATGGTCCCGGTGGACATTCAGCTGCTTTCCAAATATCACATCCATAACTAATATAAATAAAAACTATAGTCAAAATAAATACGTAAAAGAATTGGTCGAACATTTCGTAACTATAATCATTGAATGTTTGGTTAGAAAATCGAAATGAATTCGTTTCATGTTATATGTATTGGTAGGATTAAATATAAAATAAACAATCGATCGGCTAGGTATATATGGCGCTAAAACAAAATGATGTAATATATTTATCATTGACCGTTAACGTGTGATTTATATAATCATCATGAATCAATTTGTATCGTTATCTGTAATTGAAATTCTTCTTTCTATTGTTTATTATATTGTTGTCATATCATTTATTATAATGATCTCGCAAATAACATGGACATTATTTTCGATTTATAGAGAAAAACAACATATTAACATTGATGACAATGATGAATATGATGTATCACCTAATGATTCGGAATAATATAATGACAAAAAAATATTTTGTTTTTCGTTGATTAATTTAATGTTTTAAATAACGGTATTTTCCAACACATTTATTTTTTTCTTTTTGTTTTTTTCTTCTTTTTATACAAAAAAAAAACTATAAGATGGCAAAGGCAAAAAAAATGAAGTTTAAGAAGAAGAAAAAAAAAAAACTAAATGTATGGTTGTTTATACTTAACTCAACGGCGCCCAGTTTTAAAATGAACGTCATAACCAATCAGACACAAGAAACAAAAGATAGAGCGAGTATATAAAGACCAGGAAGATAAAGCATAGAAGACAAGAAAAAGAAAAGAAATTTGAAATCATCGTGATTGTGTATGTCTACAGATATTGTGATAGCCATCGGAAGGCTTCTCCATAACCTTCACGTCTTAGTACACTGCACATAAATAATTCCATTGGACGACCAGCAATATCCGAACGTGCAACATTGCCTTTTCCGGTTGTCGCTGTTGAAATACCAAGTACATAACGAAGTTCTTGTTCACTGACAGCACCCGGTAAATCAATTTTATTTCCAAGGACAACAATAGGTGCATTAGCTACTTGTTCATCTGTTAATAAACTCTAAAAACAGAAAAAGTAAAACAGTATATTTATATCATAATTAAAATCTACAAACATCAAGTTCAGCTTTCGTTTCAGCAAAACGACCTCGATCAACTGCATCAACAAGAAAAACAATTGAATCAACAGCCGGAAAATAATCTTTCCATACACGACGAGCTTTAAAAAACGATATAAAAATTATTATTATTTTAATATTAGTCATTCAATTATCTTACCCTGAGCATGACCACCTAAATCAAATGTTGTAAATTTCATATTTCCCATAACTAATTCTTCCGAAGCTATAAAAACGAAAGAACAATATCAATGTATTTCTATAGAATAATTATTAAATAAATTTTATACTTGGATGTAATGTGGGTACATGTTGTGCAAGTCGATCATCTTTAAGCATATGCAACAAAGTTGTCTAATAAATAAGAAAATATTTGATTGTTTTTTTTTAAATAACATGTTTTTTTACTTTGCCAGCATTATCAAGACCCAGAAAGACGAGTTTACCACTTTTCTTATGTAAACCTATATGAAATCAAATAAATGAATATGATATATTCAAGGTTATAATTGATGAAGTGTACCGAGAGTTGATAAAATACTTGTGAACCAATCCCATAAGAAACTCATTGTGAGTTATTGATTATACGATTGGCTTTTATTTAAAAATCTAAAGAATATAATAAAATCGTTTATTTTCTACAAAAGAATGAGAAAATATAATCATTTGTTTCTTTTAGGGCCACGTGTTTAACGAATATTCCTGGTTCGTTTTTTAACCAATCAATGTCTATTTTTTGTTCCTCAATAAATATATAGTGAATATTAATCTATAAGCGACATCTCTTATCAGATATTATATATCAGATATGGTGAGTAATTGCTGATAGTAGAGAAATGTTTAAAATTCTAAAAAAAAAGAGTTGTTTGGAGCTAATGTATATCAAAATTGAACAAATATTTAATTTGGTTATCCACAAAAAATATCTTTCAGTTATAAACCCTTCTCTCGATATTTTTTATCATTTGAACAAGACGTTGTGTTTTTACGTGCTGATAGATTAATCTTTCAAGCTTGAATTCCTGACATTGTTTGCATGTAACAATTTATGAAAAATTAAAATAATTATTCAGAATAAAAATTTTTTCAACATAGTTAAAATAATTCACTATCTATTTATGACTTATACCTCTCTCTCTCTTCGCTAAATGTCTTATTTCATTTTCAATAGTACTCGTTGAATAAATTGATCAGTTTTAATAATATTTGGATGTGTGGAAGGTAATGCATGACGATAGATAAGAGCAGCTTTTTCATAATATTCTAATGCTTGATGATATTCATTTTCATCCTCATAAACGAGACCGACATTATTCAATGTCGATGCTATCTGTGGATGTTGTGGTGGAAGTGATTTTTGATGAATTTTAAGTGATTGATTATGATGTTCGATTGCAAAATTATAATGACCAAGACATCGATAGATAATTCCTATATTACTATGTGATGCTCCTAAATCAGGATGATCAGCTGGAAGATGTTTTACTCGTATATTTAAAGCTATTTGATTATATTTTAATGCTTCATTATATTTTTTTTCAATTTGATATATTCCAGCAATATTATTTAAACATATAGCTACTTTTGGATGATCATCACCAAATGCTTGTTTAAGAATAGTTAATGATTTATGAAATGATTGAATTGCACGTGTATAATCTTTTTTTCTTTCATAAATTGTACCAATACTATTATAACTATTGGCTAATTGTGGATCATTAGATTTTAATGAATATAATTTTATTTCTAATGCTTTTGAATGCCAATTTAAACTTGAATCATAATCACCTTTTTCATATTTAATTACACCAAGTGCATGATAACATCGACCTAATTCTTGACTATCAGTTGGTAATGGATGAAGTAATCGACGATAATAATTTTCTGCTTCATCAAATTTACCCATATCACGTAAAACATGACCAAATGAAAGAAGATCAGTTTTATATTGACTATGTTGATTTTTCATATGTTCAAATATTGGTTTTAAATCATGATCATTTCCACTTGATAAGACCATATGAATAATCCATAGACCATGGTCATTACATGATATATTCACTAATCGAAATATTGAACCTAACATAAATAATACTTCGGATTCATCAGGAAAATAACTATATGTACTTATATTAGCAAATGGTTTTTCATTAGTTAATTGTGGATTAGCATCAATTTCAAATAGAACTCTTTCACAATTATCAGAATCACGAGAAAAAACTTCGGCTAGCTCTCGATTAAGACTTGTTGAAAAAAATGAATTTATCGAAATGAATTTTCCAATTGAATCTTTTAATATTTGAAGTTCATCATTTATCATTAATTGTCCACGATAAACACGTATTACATTTAATGACTGATATTCTAATAATTGTCGATGTAAATCACGAATAAAAAAAACGAAATAAATAAATTAAATCAATATTTTGTATACGTAATGCTTTATTTAATAAACGATAAAGAAATGATGGTCTTGTATACCACCAAATTGCACGTGATGGTGTATAATTTTTTTCAAAATCATTTATTATTGATAATTCATGTTGATTATCTTTATATTCTTCTTTACATACAGACACAAATTCATCTTGTTCAATCGTTGTTGGATTCATTCGAAGTAAACAATCAATTAATAATTGAGAATGAATAAACTGTCCATTAAGACCAGTTGTTGATTGACCTTGTTCAGTATTAAATATATTTATTGAAAGAGTTTCATTTGCTTTCTTTTTAATACGTTTTATCTGATCCGATTGAATTTGATCTACTAGATCTTTTGATTTAATAATCACAGCTTGAATCTAAACCCATCAAAATCTTTTAGTAATGCTGCGAAAATTCCAGGGGTGCAGAAT